TTGATAAAGAAATTTCCTGGAGAAACGGATTTCCACAAACGAACAAAAGAAAATGAATCCTCGAGAGTATATACTCGTAGTTTTTTAGCACACTCAAATTTTCACACGATATCATTTTTGAAGGAAGTTTGGACCACTGACCTAAAAAACAGGCTTTTTCACTAAAATGTTTCGATGAGTGCCCTCCAAAAGAAAATCTCAACGGGACTAATTTTTGATTCGGTAACATTTTAAATAACTTGAGCATTTTTTTAGAAAGCATGAACCTATGTAAAATTCGGTTCCAGCTTTTCAAAACAATGAATTCGTAGGAAATTGTGATTGTTTTATGGTTGAAAGCTTGCATATGCACAAAGAGAAGTACCAGTGCGCTATTTCTCTTATTAAACGACTTTGGAGAACTATTTAGCAATTTTTGGAGAGAGCATGATTTAAATTTTCCTAATCTTCTTACCTCTTCGCACAACCTCGAATTTGAAGGAATTTATGACCCTCGAAAGAGGCAGGTGCAAATTTCATTGAATTTTATTTGATTGGGCAGGAACACCAGGGGAAACGGGAAATACTTCCGCGCCCCGAGTTTCTCCCCCGCAGGGTCAACCCTGCGTTGCGCAAATTCCGCCCTGTCTCGCCATCATACCACATCCAACCTATTGAAGGTTAAGGCCTTAATTTCAGCGTTCCAAAGATTTCTCTTGCTTTCCTTTCCACTTTCAGGTCGTTCCGCAGCTCAATCATCACTACGAAGCGCTCTTATCCAGTTTTATCCCGGGGCTTACTTTCGAAGAAGGATGAAAAGGCAGCCATTTCGATTAAGTTAGAGTTTGTCAGTGATGACGATGAAGAAAAAACCAAGAAAAACAGGCCTAGAACCCGAGAAATGGGACCACTTCTTGCCCGTTAATTTCTGCATTGATGCGACTCTTATCGGTGCTGAAATCTTCTACGCTAATGCTATATCCTTAACGGCTAGAGGCTCAGACAGCCTTTTTTTCTGGTTCTGTAATACCTACTACTTTTAGGTGCACAGATACCGGGCATCCTGCAAGACAAAGTCCAGGAGTAGGCAAGAGCATTGACGAAATGAATAAAAAACTTGATCACGCAATTTGGAGTTTCTTCTTCTCCACCTAAAGCCAGAAAGGAGATGTTTCACGTGGATTGAAATGCATCGCCATAGCAATAATCCCGTGTCTTGCGATAGCGCCTTGAATCATCTCTGGTCGTTCTGTTCATACTCGCATAGGGTTATACGTAGAGATGGTTCTGCCTTCTTGTGACGTACGTCAAGTGCAATCCGATTTATTGACGACGAATACATCCAACAAGAACAGGGAAGGACCGCCTCCGAGTGAATCACCCCTCTTATACTGTGTTGTTCGCTCCGCCCGCTTCTGCCCACTTATTCATCGTCACCCTGGTCACGACACTTTCCCTCCTTAAAAAGGCTTAGCCTCAGTATAAGGTGAAGCATACGCTCTTCTGTGTGTACTCCGAACCACTAGTTGACACGCTTGAACATGTCCACTCAGACGCGTGAACAAATGTGGACAAGCGTTTAGGAAATGTCCCCGTAAACTGCGACGGCGCCCTAATTTCTTGTTAGTGGATATACCTTTGGCACTCGTGATACCATTGTGGACCGCCGTTATGTGTACATCTTTATACGTTTTCGTCGCC